TTACTGTTCATAATGAATAAGATATTGTTTAATACTGCATTTCATAGCTTCGTGGGTACATTTTTGTTTTAACATACATCTGGGTAAAAATGAGCATTGACACCTAGCCTTGAACATTATAACAAGTCTATCCAGTTTTTTTTTCTTTCTCTCTGATCATTGTTTTTAGCAGTGTCGAACATGTTGTAATTATGCCTGTCTCTCCCCTTAGACTAACACCTCTGCACCACCACCTCGCTAATCAACACTTTTTAATTAGCGCTTTGCTAACTCGTCCTGAATGACGTGTGTGCCAAACTGCACCGAATGACTTCTGCTAGACAGCAGTGTCGTCAACATGCCCATTATGGGCATCTGCCAGAAGCAGCCCTCTGGGCCCTGGCGCTGTCTGTGTATGGAGTAACTGCTGAGGAATAAAGCTGATTTTCATACGATAAGGTGTCAAAGTCCTCAGGATGGATGAATCCTTCCTGGCCTTTTCTCATTACATTCTGTGGAGATTAATTATGACATATCACTGTCCTCATTAACCAAACAAGTCAGCTGTCTTGAGTTGACGAACTAAGGCACGTTGCAAAACTTCTGTTCCATGTGAGCCTGGCTATTTATCAGAACCGGCTTTCACCACCAACAGTCACGACACAGCATGATATTCACAGTGGAATTTCATTAGACTGAAATCTAACTATAAAGATTTAAAATAAGGTATGGTTTGAGTGGCTATAATTTCATTGTTTTGTTTTAGAGAGTAACTGAATCTATCTATTTTGTTTCAGGTGTTTGCCCTAAAATTCATTTTTAAAAATATCAATAGAATTTATTAATAAAATGGATGCATAGCTGACATGTCAGACTTTGAATGTTAACCTGGCCATTTTGAGTGCATTTAAAATGTTTGCAACACTATTGTATGGCTTAAAGCTTCCACTACTATTCTGAACCAAAATTCAAAAACAGAAAGCAGTTAAAGTTAATAATCCATTATTTATCTGACTTCATTGTATTTTATCTAACTCCATTAAAGCTGTCATCATTAAGAGAAAAAATCTCAACGCCTTAAAGCAGGCCAAGTTGTTTATTAAGTCACATGTTTAATTATACAGATAGTAGAATGACACAAAGTAACATGGTGTATAAAGATACTTATGCCGAGTTCAGACTGCAGGATTTTCAAAGTAGTCGTGTCACAGATGTTTTCACACTGCATGACTATCTGAGCTAGCGCTTTGTCGCCACTTTGTTCACACTGCAAAATGGATCGGCGACAGGAGCTTTCACATTGCATGACTTTACAATAGAAAGAATCGCCGACAACTTCGTTCAAATCAAGTCTCACTGCCAAAAACACGTAGTATATATTTTGTTATTACCTACATAATGAGAAAGAAGCCTTTAATGGGGTAGAAACTGTACTCCAAATATCTTACAGGCATCCGCGACTCATCGGCGATTCTCTCAGATCGCATCTTTGATAGTTCACACATGCATAAGCACTGAATTGCCTGTAATTTCAGGCATTTGTCAGAGATTTCTCAAAACCTGTCGGTGAGTCAAAATCGGGGCTATAATCATGCACTTTGAACTTGGCATTAGCTGTAACACTGAAACAGTGACAGTGAAACTGCCTTTGTTAGCAGATGAGGCTACACACCGGTATGTGGAAGATGCAGAGTAAAGCCTTTCTCCCTGATCAACAGTTACCATTGCTTATAACCTGAGCAAAGCATTGTCAAACATGAGTGAAAACCAAAACCAGCTGAACATGAAAGCAAAGTTGAGGAGATCAAGTGAGGGAGAAGAACATTAACATACTCTCCTTATGCCATGACTCAACAATAGTAAATAGATTGTATATAGAAATACATTAATGTTTCTGTTGATTTTATTACAACAATGCTGAAGTCATGACACCAAACATGACAAATTTATATGAAAGAAGATCACAAGCAGATGAATTGTGTATGGTGAAAAGCACATGGCAGAGACCTGTATTGGAAATATGAGGAACTCTGTTTGCAATGTCTCAGTAGTACTTCATTAGCATAGAAGGTATATAAAATAGTGTATAAATTTTTCTCAGCATACACTATGAAACTATTTGAGTTGTGAGATGTCTAGATTAAATAACAAATAAACATAAATATGATGTGACATTTGAGATTTTAGGAGGAGGTCCTTTTGTGTTTTTTTTTTTTTTTTTTTTTTGCAATGATCCAATATCCTGCTTACATAGAATATAAAGAAAACTATTAGGCCAAGATAATCCTGGATTATGTTATACTGAGATTAAAAATAACTATAAATTATGCCAAGTGTACAAGGCATAGTCTTTTTACAGAACCAGTAACATTGTCAAATAATAAGCTCAATGTTAGCAACACAAAATGAGAATGCAGCATGTGTTTACTTTTCAACGCTGTTAGGACGTTCACTCACTAATGAGTTCGTCAGATGTTCATCCAACGCTTCACCTATATTTACCAGTAAAGGGCAACATAGAGTTTTCAGCACCATAAATTTAGTTTGATCTTGGAAAGTTGACCTTTGACTTCAGAAAACACTTTGGGGTGGTTTGTTTCAGAGGAAGAACTGCTAGGGCTCAGTTTTGATCATAGCTAATTATAATTCCAGCCCACGTAGTGCTGGTTTGCTGTTAGGCCATGTCTGCATGAGTGCACTGGTATGTACTGTATGTTCACAACAATGAATCTCAAAGCTTCTCAAGATGCAATCTGCAATATCCTGGGGTATTTATACTTTGAAATGTGCCTATAGAAAATCCTCTTTTCAGCCTAGATGCTTTTTTCTCACACATGCGTATATGTTTTAGTTTGTTATAAGACACCATTAGCAAGCTATACCACCACAGCAGGAGATAGAGGCTGTGTTAAAATGCGTAAAGGAAGACTAACTCATATCACTATCTCTATTTCAATGTAAAACACCTTACCATCCTTCTCAAGATGTCCACTGGGGTCTTTGACAGCCAGCTGGACTGAGTCCTGTTCAATTATACATTTATAATCATAAGGCTTCTGCAGCAGAGGACAGGCTTAGATCAATACCATAGTGAGTTATTGTCCTAGACGGCTACCTTTGCACGATCCCAATCCCTCCTGTCTGTTGCATCGCTAAGTTCATGTTTATCAGGCGAGGTGTCTGTTGTATTTCAGCTCTTGCCTATTTAAATAAAAACTTTGATCCTTGCCATCAATCAAATGGTAGACAGGTTCATCAAGAAGGTAATAGTCTAAAAATGGCATTTTCGAGCTGCACACCTATCCATCATGTATGTAGCGATGCCCATTAGATTCAAGAAGTGAGCACATTTGTCTCACATTTTGTCTCACGCTGTTGCTATTGTTACAGTACAATTTGATGTCATTTGATGGTTGGACACATTTTTTTTTGAGGCACACTGTATCTTAAGGTTCAGTTCTTGTTATTAACAAACTATTAACTAGAAATTTTGCTTTAATAACCTCCTAATATGCTGTTTAATAATTTGTAGTTGTATTTGGGTTAAGGTAGTAGTTGAGTTTTGGTATTGACTAGAATAAAATCATGCAGAATATGTACTTTATAAGTACACATTAATAAGCAGCCAATATTTTAATAATATCCATACTAACTTAACATTAATTGTGAGAATTAGTCCTTAAAGTGGTACTTTTTTTCGTCTCTGTGATGATTTTTGTTCTTATTATTAAACCTTTACCAATAACCTTGAACTCCTACTATACATGTGCTATGTAAAGCCAACTGCATCAGCATTTATGCCATATTCCATATACAGTACATGCTCTATTCAATTCCAGCCCCCATTTCTGCTATTTCTACAAGTCTTTTAGTGGCACCGGATTCAGATTTTAATGAGTACATTGAATCTGTACCTTTCTCTTGTGTGGGATTTTGCTTTGCCAGAAGTAAAAATCTTCTCATTGTTGTAATTTTCTCCAAGTCAGGGTAGATGCTGCAGAATTCAGAGTAACAGAAAGTGTTTGTTTTTTTTGGTAGTGTGTACTGAATGGACTACTGTAAAACGTACTTCATGAATGAGTGAAAAATGTTCAACCAGTGCAAAGATAGTCACTATAAATTCATCCACCTTGGCAGTGTTGTCCTTGGACAACCCTGAAAAAATATATTGTCTTCTGTCCTCAAGGACTAACATCCGGGTAACTTAAGTTTCTACCCAGCTTTTACACACTTCCTTTGATTAGCTAGTTCAGCTAAACTCTGGGTATAAACTGTGCAGCATGATAGTTCTTTAGGAGCAAAGTTGTGAACTCTTGGTATAAAGCAATGGAGTGTAAACGTCATGCTGCAGGGCTACTGTCCTGTAGAGTTTAGCTTTATTTTGCCTCAACATACCTGCCGGGACATTTCTTATATGCCTATTAAGACCATGATTAGCTGGATCAGTTGGACCTTACGCTGTACAGAATGCAGGACAGTGGCCATCCAGGAGTGGGATTCTTCATCACTGGTCTAAAATTTAACCTTTTAAAAAAAAAAAGTTTAAACTTTCTTGGTTCACAATTCTTTATTTTTTATGACTCCTGCTTTTCTCTTTTGGCAGGTAGGTCTAACCTGTTGACACATATTTTACTAGGATTTTTTTTATAATTCTAAAGACCATGATTAGGAATAGGGCTAAACTCTGCAGGACAATTGCAAAATTGGAGGTCCCTCCCTTATAGTGTCTAAGAGTGTTTCTCAACCACGTTCCTGGAGCACCACCAGCTCTGCATATTTTCCATATCTCTTCAACCAAACACACCTGATTCAGATCTTCAGCTCATTAGCAGAGACTGAAAGACCTGTAATGGGTGTGACAGACAGTGTTGGTGGTCCTCCAGGAACATAGTTGAGAAACACTGGTGTAGAAAACCAAAATTTCTGCTTGTTGCACAGATTATAATATATGATGTTTTGTCCTTTAGTTGTCTCCCTGCTCTTTGCATACGATGTTAAAATGTCTGTTTGGTGTCTTGCAGGAGTTTGCCGCCCTGACGAAAGAGCTGAATGCCTGCAGGGAACAGCTGCTGGAGAAGGAGGAGGAGATTTCGGAGCTAAAGGCCGAGAGGAACAACACCAGAGTGAGTTCGCACATAGTGTCTTCCAAACAACAGATTGTGCCCCTAAACCGCCATCTACTTCATAAAGTTGTACTTTAACAGACTTAACAGATGCCCAGCCAACGACTCGTGCAACTGATTCATGATGTTTTGTTGAAGTTAAGATGTTTGTGTTTGGTCCAAACTAGCTTCTGTAGATGCTTAGCTTAGCTTAGATTCACAGCATGAAGTCACATTTACTTTTCGATATGTCCCACACCAACTTTTATGTCCTGGGATGATAGCTGAGCAATAACTCTATTCTTGCTGAGAGCATTGAATATTATTTCCTGAGAGTCCGGATATCAGGCTGGCATCACCATGTGTTTGCATTGAATTCAGAGATGCTGCCAAAATGTCTGACAAGAGCCAGCACTCTGGCTATCACTTCCATTTCATGAGAAAGTAGTCATTCTCACTTTTTCTGCTTCATTTTCACCTCCTTTCTTTTCCTGCACCCCTCAGTGCCTGCCTGAGTCACTGTGCTAATGCAGCCCGCCGCACCAGCCTCCACTCTGCTATTCAATTAATTACTTACGTTACTTAGCCGCAGCCAAACGTTTGAAGAGTCAATTATGGAATTGGGGATATTAGAGGGTATTAAAAACCAGAGGGAAGCGTAGATGGAGGAGGATAAGGGCACGTAGTGGATTGGAAATGAGGAGAGGTCAAGTGAGATTAGAACCAGACTCCGGGAGCAGCATTTCAAGCAGAGTTTCCAATCTTACACCGGGAGCAGCTAATGTCAACAGTGAAAGAAGTATTTAACCCCAAACTGCTCTGGAGAGGCTGTCGACAGCGCTGCAGTGTATCGGTCATTAATGAAAATGTCACTTCATAATAAGTTTCCTGAATTCCAAATTGCATGCTAGCAACATGTAAAGTTGATCGCTTTTAGTAATGAGACATAATACAAGGGGAAGTGATTATATTACTTTACACTTAAAAAAAAATTCACTATTGTCTGGCCACATTTTGCGAACAATTCACAAGATGCTTTGATTTGAGAGATTTTGTAATTCTTATCACATGATGTTTACTCTAAATGTTCTGCGCAGTGCATAAACTTTATTACAAACTAATGATTTGTGGTGCAGGAGTTAAAAATGAGTAAATAATAATAAAAATAATAATAATAATAATAATAATAATAATAATAATAATTAAGAGCTTCATTACAGCTTGACTCATGGATTTATGCACGAGAAACAGCCACCTTAACGACATGTAAGTACATGTTTGTTATAGTAGTTAATGCATTAGTTAACATTTACTGACTTACTAAATCAAACATGATCTCAGGTCTCAAGTCAGTAAATATATATAAAAAATATTATCTATTACACTGAGGAAAATATTCAAATATGTTTCATTGGATTTACTAAATGTTTTAGGGTTTAAATATTTAAACTATAAATTAAGTTGAAAATTACTACATTTAATTAATTTGTTTACATTTAGCCCATATACATTTTTGCAACAACTTTGCAGAAAAGTTTTTTTTTCAGTGTATTTCTAAAATAATACAAAAAATAAATGACGTTTAAAGAATTACCCAAAATATGATTTAAATAATATTTTGCTTAAAAAAATAACTACAAATATACTGTACAGCATTATAGCATATTACGTATACATATAATGCATAATACACATAATACATTTAATAGGCTACTCAGTGAGGTCATTTGATCTCAGCATATTGACCGCCATGAGGAGTTGACCACGCTTATGCAGAGTGAAACTAAAGGACTGGCTGATATTATTTGGATACATTTTTGGCTGATGCCTTTTTCATTTTCTTCTTAGTAAAATTGTTTAAAAAGTGGGGAAAAGTGCTTACTCATGCACTGTCAAATACAGACAGATATTATGTGAAGTATGTAAATAAAAAACACAATTTATGTTTTCAAGAAAAGAAAAATGCAGTATTAACAGAAGAGTCATGCTGATTTTGTGTAGAAAAATTCACAGGATGCCCTTTTATGGTAAATGACGCATAAATGTTACTGTACATATATTGATTTAAGATCAATGCTGAGATTCATGTATTGGCTAATGGCTCTGAATCTGATCCACCACAACAGACAAACTCACAGGGAGAGAGAGAGAGAGAAACCTAACCTGTATCTTCCTCTATAGGGTAGTTGTAGTGCTGAGCTGGCACTGGGAAAGACAGAGGCTGGCACAGAGCGAGGGTTATGAATGAGAGAGCACAAATAGAAAGGTCAGCTCCTAGTCTCTGGAGCAGCACTGCTACTGTACTGGCTGTTCAGCCCTCAGGCAGGTACATGAGCTGCTGCTGCAGTTCAACTAACTAGAGTTTAGAACTAGTTATTTAAAGTTGAACTCTTTTTGGAAATAAGGAAACTTGTGGAAATCAGCCTCAACTTATGTGTCACCATGCAAATGAAGCTACATGTAGCTCTAGTTTTTGTTTTGTGCTATTTTTAGCTTACTGTTAGCTATAGATTTAACTTCTTTATGTTAGCTTAAGCTTTAGTTTAATATTTAGCTTTATGTTTAGATGCAGTTTAGTTGGGATGCAGATTTAGTTTTAGCTTTTATTTTATTATTTGTTTGTTTATTTAACCGGGAGAATACACTTGACATTGTAAAACAAAGAAAACCCATGCCGTGTACAGAGGGCATATAGCATGAATCTAATTAGGAGCCCTCGTCCATGGTTAGTCTTTAGATTATTCAACAAACATGTACAGTGTACAGAGCCACAAACATAAAATGTAAGTAAATCTGAGTACTAAATAGAAATGTAAACCTGACCAACTGAAATGAATAATACTTAATGTTCAAATTGCTGTAAAGATTTTAATCATTCTTTCAGCTTTACAGAAAAAAACTTGGAGTTCTGTTTGTAACTTTAAATCAACAGGCATGGCATTCCATAGATGTGAACCTTTCACTGAAAAGGATGACTGACCTACAACGGTTCTGCAGACTACCTTAGGGGCAAGACCATATACACTCAAACATGGTTTAAAAAACTTAAACTTAAAAAAAAAAAAAAAAGATCAAAACTTACGAAGTTAGATAATTTTACAATGATGCCATTTTATTGATTACTGATCCATTACTTTTAAAGTTAGTTTGTAAAGTAACATTACAGATCTAACATCTGACTGTGAAACCTGACCCATGATTATTGCACAGTAAGACTGCAAGAATGGGTTTTAACCACAGAGGTTCGATCTGTAGTTTTGCCGAATGACTAAAATGTTATCAGCATGATGATAAAAAAACTGTACATTATAGTCAAACCATTCTTCTGCAATCTCATACCAAAAATAAGGAAAAAAGGGCAGTATTAATAGCTTAAAATGTGACAGAGCGTTAATATTATGTGATTGTATTGTATTGCTAGATGGAACGATTAAATGTTGATGTTAAATCAAAAGTAATTTACAATTACTTGAAAATGAAATGATTTAATGACAATAGTTCTCTATGGTTACAACTGAATTAATCAACTGTATAAAATGATACAATATGAAATGATAAAACATATTATTTAAATTGTACCTAGCTTAAATGTAAGAAATAAAGTTACCAGAGGTAGAAGGTGAGACATAGGGGGAGGTTAGAGAGAGACAAAGAGAGCAGGCAGGATTGCAGTAGAGTCAGACAAGATAGACTCCAGAGGAGGAGAGGAGCAGAGCAGAAAAGTGCAGAGACAGAAAAGACAGGGCAGAAAAGAGACAGAGCAGAGTTTACCACCTATTTTGTATCTTTCTTGACCGTGTGTGTGTGTGTGTGTGTGTGTGTGCGTGCGTGCGTGCGTGCGTGTGTGTATATATATATATATATATATGATCTTATTAAAACTTAAGTTTAGAGTTCCCAGTGACACCTAGATATTTAAATTTACTCACTTCCTTAATTTCCTTTTTGTCAATTTGGATCTTAAATACATCCAGTGCTTATCTACCTTATTTTATGCAAAATAGTACAGTTATCTTAACATTTAGGTTCAGTTTTAGCTGTAGGATTTGGATGTAAATTTTATTTTAGCTTTAAGATAATTTTTGCTACACTTTAAAATAATGTTGTCTCAACGTTAAGTATAATTATGACGAACCCAACTTGATTCAAATTCAAGTTTAAAAATATAAAATTCATTTTAAAAGTGTCATTTAAATTTTATCGAAAAAAAAAAATCTTAATGTTGGGTTTGTCTATTGTATATTTGACCCTACATTGGGTTGTGACAACCCAACATTTTTTTAACCGTAGCTATGTGAGTTTTTGACAATTTACTGTTTTAAATTTAAAATTTATTGTAGTTAAGTTTGTTTGTCTTTTGATTTTAAAGATTTTTACTTTTGATTCATTATATGTTTCAAGAGTTTGCACTTAATATAATGCTCGACTATAATAGCAGGTTTGGCATGCCATCCCGGGAGAGAACCCTGGGCTCGAAGAAAGATGAGCTCAAGATTCCCGCCTGGTCAATGAGCTTTAGGAGGGATACGAGATCTGGTATTTCTTGAGAGCCCCCTGTTTTATACTTTGGCTTATATGGTGGTTCTGATTGATTCAGTATGTATGTGTTAAGTCCTTGTAATTGTTATTACAATTTGTTTATGTCCATGTTTTAGACTGTGAGAGGAATCCGGAGTACCCAAGGAAAACCCACACAAACACAGGGAGAACATGCAAACTCCGCGCATAGACTAGCTCAATTAGAACTTGAACCTTTGGTCCTCCCACTGAGCCGCTCGATCATAGAATGAAGAGGGGGGAGAAGGAAAGGATAGAGAGGGGGGGTTCCAAAAACAATATGGAATGAATTTTAGGCAGGATATTTATAGTAAATTTAGAATGATCTGATAGGCTGATCATTTCACGTGCTCCTCTCGAAATTAGTTTGTAAAACTTCACTTAATTGTTTTTTATTTAGCTTTTTATTTTATTGTTATTATGTACACTAGAAAATGCTGTGTTGTTGAACCCAGTGATGGGTCAAATGTGGACAAACCAATGTTGTATATATTTTTTAATGAAATTTCAATTACATTTTTAACCCAACTGTTGGGTTTATTTCACTAAAACAACCCAGCAGTTAATGTATTCATATATGTTTGTATGTTCAACACTCTCAGGGCAGTAAGTAACTTTTTAATTTAGAGGCTAACTCGCATGATATGATCTCATTGCTACAATTTAGTACATGTACAACAAACAAGCATTGTAAAATAATCCAAATGAAAAATAAAAATGTATAGGCAAATAAAACAAAATAAACAACAAACATATACTCAGATAAAAGCATACATGTATACGCATATATGCATATATCTACACAATCACACACATAATAGTTCTTACATACAGTATGCATATACATGCACACACACTGTACATGCATACATACACCTACACAATAAGCATATGAAATGCATCCACTTCACATACTTCTATATGCAATTTTAAAAAGGTGCGTCTTAACACACTTTTTAAAACATGAATGCTAGGGCATTCTTTCACTTCATTTGGGGGACTATTCCAAATTTTTGAAGCAAAGTGGGTAAAGTAGCAAATGATAGTCGGGTTTAGGGGTGGGGTTGTGTGCCATGCCTCCTTTTAAAAATCATACATATTTGAACGACTGATCTCAAACAAAATCCAACGAATTAGCCACTAAACTGACAAAATGTAAAATAGTTCAGTTTCGTCATGAGATCAGGCTGGTATGTTTGTTTGTATGTATTTCATGCATGTGTGTAAAAGGGGTACAATATAATTTAAAGAATTAAATTCATTAATGAGTTATTAACATTTAAATTACATGAACAAAGCTTAGTAATCTTATAGACACAGTACTGTGTGTCTCATAATCCTATATATTGAAGATTTTTTAGCTGCAAAACAAATGCTACTATTGTACAGCATCATTTATACCAGCACATACGTTGCATTAGTTGCTTCTTAGCTTCTCCAAGCATTCAACAGAACACCTGGCTTTTGGATGTTCGTTACAAAAGTTAATTAAAAAATACTCTTTTATAGTAAACATAGTCTCTGTCTGACCATTAGTTCTCTCTGTCCACTCATCTACACCCAGACAGCTTTCATTCTCTTTTTCCAGCAGTGTCCTTGGGACTGGCCGAATTGATTTTTTATGGCATGTACCAGACCAGAGAGTAACCACATTAACATAATCTCCTTTGTCCCGAGTCCAGGGGGTTTCAATTTGTTGCGTCTGCTTTATTGTTTCAAGTAATGTAATGGCTTTTCTTGTGTGTAATGTTGTTAGCTGTTTAAAAAGGCTCCCTTGCAAAATGAGAAAAGACAAAATGGTGTGTTAAGCAGATGCCATTCATTGTCATATGAAGAATGTCCTTGAGGGATTGTGACATGATGAAAACCTGACCTCAGATTGCAGCAGTGGGCATTCAGCTTTAGGTTTAGATTAATTACTACAATTAGATGTAATTTTTTGTTGTTAATTTTTCAACTCTGTAATTTTAAAAATAAGTTTTGTTTATGTTTTGTATATTTATGTCTGCTCTTTTAGCCTTAACTTAGTTCAGTTTTAGATTTTAGTTTGAACTTTTAGCTTACATTGTGATTTCAGCTTTTAAAATTTAACATAGTTTTAGTCTTATCTTAACTTTTTATAATTTTCAAGTTTTACTATTTTTGTTCTTGTTGTTGTTGTTTTTACCTGCTATTTTAGCTTTGGTTCAAGATTTTGTTTAGTTTTACATCAATTTAGATAACCTTTGGGTGTGATTTCATATTTTGCCTAAGCTTTAAATTGTGCTTCATTGTGTTTTAATCAGTCATTCATTTTTGCCAAATGTTTAGTTCAGATTTGCACTTCAGCGTTGGCTTCTGCCCTAAATTTAACTTTAGATTTAGCTTACATTTTAGAATGAGATGTTTTATATATGTATGTATCGCAATTTTGACTTCAGATTTGTATCCGTTTTAAATAATTTTCATTTGTGGCTTCAGCTTTTTTCACACCTCTGCTTTAATTTTAAAACATAATATATATATATATATATATATATATATATATATATATATATATATATATATATATATATATATATATATATATATATATATATATATATTTTTTTTTTTTTTTTTTTTAATGTTGTTGTATTATTAAATTCATTTTTATATAAATTAGTTTTTGTAACTAAGTAGAGAGTCTTTTCAGTTAAATCAATGACAGCTAAGCCAATGTCTTATTATTATTAGTTCAGATTTAGTTTGATGTTGATTTTTGGTTTGATTGTTACAGTATGATTGTAACAGTAATGGTTCTTTATGTTAATTTTGGTTGAGCTGATCAGTGTTTACTGTTTGTTCCTTAGCTGCTGCTGGAGCATCTGGAGTGTCTGGTGTCGAGACATGAACGTTCTCTGCGAATGACGGTGGTGAAGCGACAGGCTCAGTCTCCCTCTGGGGTCTCCAGCGAGGTGGAGGTCCTCAAAGCCCTCAAGTCCCTCTTTGAGCACCACAAAGCACTGGATGAGAAGGTAAACCAGGAGATTTACAACTGCTGAGTTTCCTTTTACTTTTCTGATGAATTCTTTAAGGCCGGAATTTTCAAACTGTGGCTGCACTCGAGTAAATTATGATGACCATTTTTATGTGTTCACTAGAGTGAATCTGATTAATGTCCACAGCTAACTATCAAACACCTGTAAAATATACACAAATAATATGGAGCGGATGCTTTTTAAAATGAATGACGGTGAATGAAAGGAAACCGGTGAGCCGTCTGACAAAAAAGTGCCCTTCTGAATCAAGTCAGCAGGATGCCCTTCTGGATCATTCACTTACTTTGAAGACACACTGACTATGGCCCCGTTTACACTAGTGCGTTTTAGTTTTAAAACGGCGTTGTAGAATGAAAACGATCCGCGTCCACACTCGCGTTTTATCCAGCGTTTCTGAACTGCTCTCCGTCCACACCAAAACGCTGAAAACGCACATCACGTGACCACACACACACTTTCGGGCAAGCGCTCCAGCATTCTACCCAGATAAGAGCTCTGCTTGTCGAACTGCTCATCAAGCATCTCCCGCTGGATCTAATCTCACTATATTTGCTAAACGTGATATTTCATTCATGTTGTTGTCTTTATCTAACGACATATTCCCTGACTTTGGTCATTGGAATCTATTAAGTTACTTGTTCACGGGTAACATGTTTTGGTTAAGTGCAAAGATAAGTTAATGATTAATCCAAGTACATTGACTGATCGCTTGCCTTTATTTCCTACAATGTATAAACTTATTATATGTTATACTTTTATAATTGTCAATTATTAAAACTTATATTCAGTAAAAGAGAGGGTATGTTTCGTATTTTCACTGAAAGTGAAAGGAGGCAGTTGTTATCGGCTCCGTTTTGTTATAAATATCCACACAGTGAAGATGACGCTCATATATGCCGCCTCAACATTTCTGCTGTCTGTTAAGTTGCTAATATTAAAAAGAAAATAGGCAGTTCCTTAAATCATGTTTACATTTTATTGTTGAGAAAGTGAAACAACGTAGCCAAGGTGATGTGAATGAAGTTATAAAGTACACTGTTCCCTTTGAAGATTTACCCGTGTCCTCGGTATGTTTTCCATATCAAACTGAGAAGGGGGAGACTGCAGCCTTGATCAACCTTGCGAAGTCTTAACTCACAAGAAGAGGATGCGAGACTGAACTGTGTGTGTTAGGCTACTTAATATTCAGGAAAAGCCCCAATCAGATAGGCGAACGTTTGCAGCCCCGCCTCCGTTTTCAGATGTATCCGTCTTTCCCCATCCACACTGAGACGGAGCAGCAGCGTTTCAGAATGAAAACGGCCTCTCCAGCGTTTTCAAAAAGCTCCGTTTTCGGCGCTCGAGAACTCCGGCGTAGTGTGGACGGATGGCGTAACCGTAGCTAAACTTATGCGTTTTCAAACTAAAACGCACTAGTGTAAACGGGGCCTATGTTTACATGGACATCAGTAATCAGTAATCTAGTTATTTGCCTTGGGGGTTGTGAGTGAAATTAGCCAAGCTTGGGGGGGAATGTGTCATAAAAGTTTGAAAACCCCTGCTTAAGGGTGCTGCAGGCAAAAATAAACTTTTTTTTTTGTTTCATGTACCTGTCAATTTTATAGATTTTCTGTTGTTTAGCTTTTCATAAAGTTTTTTTTGTATTAGTATTTTTTATAACACTTTATCTGTTTTTGTCTATTTTAAAGGCTGTTTTCTCAAAATTAGTATTTTTGAGTCATAAATCTCCCCTTCAGCAGCTTACATGTTCATATATGTTATTGCATAAATATATGCTAATATGCATTTTATTTATTTTTTTTCTGAAATTTTTATTTTTTTTAATTATGGAATCATAATAAGAGATTTGCAAAATCCCCTCTGTAAAAATGTGACAAATAATTTAAAAAATAATAGAATTTTTGAACCAGACTTTTGCCAGTGATTAGATTTTTGTTCTATAAATAAATTGTATGCAAATTATTTAATTAAAGCATGTCTCATTTACATATTCAAACAAAGCAAAACTTTTAAACAAAAGTTATATATATATACGCACACACACACAAATTTATATATATTACATTACATTTCTTTATATAATCAATCTATAATGAAGTAACAAACTACTAGTCATTTGATTCAAGCCTTTAAAATTGTGTTTATATTTTCACACTCTTTTGATAGCGGTGTGCTAGTATAAATTAAATATGACATGTACTAAATGTACCACAGAGTTGTTAATGTTAAACCATTTAATTTATAGCCAGACTGATCAATCTTAATAAGCAAAATAATATTATATAAGGGTTTTTGGACAGTGTGGTCGAAGTACATTTATTAAGCACCGCGACCTTCTGACCCACCCCTCCATTCCTTCATCCACTGGAGTTTTATTTATGGATTAAGCTCTTGTGTGGCGGTTCATCCAGCTGTAATCCATTCTGCGGCCTTCTACAGACAGTGTCATTTATAAGGCGTTAGGTAACAGACGAAAGGAAATTGCTCATGATTTATTGGAGCATAGTTTTAGTGACCACTGGTCGCCAAGTGATGAAGGACTGAAGCCACTGAAATCATTCCAGTGATCAAACAGGTCACCAGTAAGAGCGAAAAGAGTGGTTTTATTCATCTTTTTGCTGGCCCATTCTACAGATAGTCACTTTTTATAAAATAAAAAAATACTATAAAATAGAAAATAGAAAAGGATGTTGCAGTAAAAAAAGGACGTGTGGTTGACGAAATTTATTGTAAAAATATGAAAGCAACATTTCATTTTTTCCCACTGGAAAATAATATTAGATATAATATGGAAAATATATTATTAGATTGTATATTACAATGTGGCTTTTTGTTTACTTTCAATATCATCAGTGTTTTAAAACAGTATTTGATCATATGTTCACCAATATGTTATTGTAATTTTACTAGAAACCTTTGTTATTCTATTATGATTTCACATTATTTACTGTAGTAAGGTGTGAGGAAGACCCAGGAGATTGTGGATCCATTGACAAGCTTCTTTATTACAATACAAATTACAGAGACAATGTAACATGTAACACTCACTGAAATGGATAACTGGGCTTTAAAGCAGGCGTCGTCAGACCAGCCAGAACACACAGAGAGTTATCATAAATGAGAATCCAGGCGAAGGTAAGGGCTGGCAGCAAAGAATCATACAAGAGTACACAGGCTGAGTATGGGCCAGGCAGAGAACAATTACTATCGGGAATAACAAACAAACAAGTCGACAACTAAAAAAACAGTCCAGTGACATATATGAACACTCAGTAATGTCCGCTTAGCAGAACAAGACTTAACAAGGAACTGTGGTAGGAGTCAGAATATATATGCCGGTGACAAGTGCCATCAGGTACTGGGCAATCAACCCCAGAACGGGATTGTGGCATTTGGAGTTCTGTAAATGGCTAGTATTTCAGTGATGATTACCTCTGCTGGCTGGTATGGGTAATAGCCGGGACAGAACTGGTGACATAAGGGAACAGCTATCTTTTGCAGTTTTACCTTTAAAAAAAATAATTTTACCTGTCTAGATCCCCAAGACTCAGTTTTTAATATTTGTCAACTACACTTTGCCTATACAGTATATTTAGCAAACATGAACTTTTAACTTCTTCAAATTCTGCAATTTTGCATCATGCTTGCTACTTCAATATAAAAACATTCCCAGTTCATTTCTGAGCAGGACACAACCTTCATAAACAGCAAGTGATGCATTTTTTCCCCTTTTGTTCAGGTACGAGAGAGATTGCGGGTTTCACTGGAGAGAGTTTCTGCTTTGGAGGAGGAGTTGGCTGCAGCCAATCAGGAGGTAAGCCACAAATGCTCTGTTTATGTAATTACACAGCATCATTATCTTCATCAAAACAGGTGTGACTGTCAGTTAAATATACTGACTAAACATGCTGAATATGTTTATTTTGTTGTTATGCCGGTGAACTGCTCAGTGTGAAATGCAACAGAGCAAACAGAACATTGTGTATTTTAGTGTGTATTCTAGTTCTGGCAGTCCAGATGGTGCAGTTCTAGCTGAAAAAGCTTTGAACTTCTCATCAAGAGCCAAATAACTTTTTCCCCCGTTAAAAGAAATTGAATGTTGAAAATGTGTGTGCTGATTTTGATCATTCTGCTCTCTGTTGTAATGTCTTCGTTTCTGAATTTAAACTCTTCTGATCTCTTCGGGTCATGAGAGAGGTGCATCTTAGATCAAAGAGCCAGACAGATGGAGAGGACAGACGAGGTGAAAGCGGTTATTTAAAACAAGACAGTGACTCAGGCCTAAGAGAGATGTGCTATCTTCATTTTCAACGTTTGTAAAGAAACTAAGTAATGAAAATAGGCCAAGAGCCTGTAGAAAAGCATTGCTCGGTTTTAGTTTATTTGAGTGTCCTTACTGTGCTCTTTTATCAGGTTGTAATTTTGTTTTGGAGGTGTTTACATCCATACAAGGTCAAACTATTTAATTTGTGTTTGGAGGGAACGTTGACATTGTTTGTGAGAACCCAGTAAAGATGACATATACTGTATGTATTCATGTCAAGATAAGCTGTCAAGGTTTTTATAATGGTGTTGAAAAGGTTCTATCTTATTACAAAACTACATTTAAATTTCAATATACATTTTAAAGATGTGCTATATAGAACAACCAGAGCTGGCACTGTACATTTGGGGGCCCTAAGCAGAATCATTTTGGGGCCCTACCTTGCTCAAATAGTGGAGTATTGCAGTACCATTGCAAAACCGGCCCACAATGATTTTATTGCTTATTAAATACAATCAATGAAACAGAAAAATAAATCCTGATTTCTTCTACCTAATAACTGTCTGAATGATTTAGACATTTTAAACCATCACCGTTTTTGTCAACCAAAGCTTCAAAAATAAAGAATTAAACAATCTTTAATAGTGATTCTACTTTACGTCCTTCTGGAGTGTTTGAAACATATTCTATTATTTAGCAAACAGATTGAAGATTCTATAAAAGGTTGTACTGTAGGTCTTATTTTTTTAATATTTAAATTCCCAAAGCAAAAACCCTGCAATGAAACGACACTGATCAATAGTTAATTAAATGCATTATATACCCAAACACTAACTTTATTATTCCCTTCAGGCTTCTTTTCTGTTTCTTACATTTGAGATGCAGGGTCCTGAGCTTATATTAAACTATTATTAGTTCAATTAGTGCATACCTTTTAGAAACATGTCTCAGGAAAAATGTTACCAGTGTGAAAAATATGTCAGTGAAACACACTTCAGTATTATTGCATTTCAGTAAAATGCGTTTTAGACACAAAAAAAACAGGTCTGTGATCTGTAAAAACAGGACAAAATAAAATATTTCATACAAGACAATGTTAATTAATCTGTAATTGTCTATTTTTGATAAATGTGCTATTAGATTATGTCTTTAACATCATAATTAGCATTTAAAAGCGATGCTAAAATTATTTTGTGCTTGTCTCTTCTCGTCATCATTTTCCCCCTCAGTATTTTTTGCCTGAAAAATAACGTTAGATTTGTTGTATTTCTGCGGTCCAATTTCCTAATCAGATATATAAATGGAGCAGGCAATGAAGCAAATGCCATGGTGGCTGTGTCTGTGCAAGGATTCACATTCTTGTGTTGACCAGTTGGTCTTGCAGGTTACCTTGGAAGAACAAACTTGAACCACGAAAAGACAGAACGCATATGAGAAATGAGATACTGCGAGCTTCCTGTTGATTAAATGACTTTTTAAAAATATTTAAGTACTAAAACACTGTCAATGAGAATAATTGTAAAATCATTTTTTACAAGGATGTTGAAAATGTGTGTGCTTATGCAAGGAAACGGGTGGACCCCTAGTTGCGGTGTGGCCCTTAGCAGCTGCTTAGTTCGCTTATAAGGAGGGCCAGCTCTGGGAAAAACAGATAATGCCAATAAGAGAAAAAAAACTATGAAATCAGTTAGTTAATGCATTCACACACAAATCACACACAGAGTCTTTGCTCCAGGTTATTGTTAGTTAATACATAAACATTTAACACTTCAAAATTTATTATAAAGATTTATACAATAAAATGCATACAGTCTAAACAAACTCTTTCATCACATCTAAAGTCATATATTCAAATATCTAAAAATGTAAATCAACAAACTGGTGGGAACATTCTCACTTCCAGCACATAGTCAGAGCCCAGTTTTCTCACCAGCTCAGCCGTGTCAGCATGCATTAGATTTGCTCTGAATTGGAAATTAAAAAATGCAAATTAAGGCCTCTTTTAAATTTCATCCAGCCTCTAAGCTGTCCAAGTTTACTTTGCAGCAAATATTTATTTATATGCAGTATTAGTCATTCAAAGCCTCGTGCTTTTGAACAACTGTTCATTGATGTTATAAAAGGACATTCACTGGCCTTGGCACTGACAGTTTGGGCATGTGTAGCGACGGCTGGTGCTTTTCTACAGTGGACTCGCACAGATGTTACTTATTAAAGCAAAGTGTGTACTTGAGATTATTTAAGGTCTGTTCTGAAATGAGGATTGTCTGAAATGTAGAAACTAAAAGCTGTACTACTCAAACTACCATTAAACTGTGCAAATACTGTATAAAAATATATAGACAACCTGCTATATGTGCAGTATAGATTTACTGACATGCAGTACTGTAGGTTGTCAATATTGTTTGCTTGATTCTAGTCTAGTTTGATGAATTACACATAATAAAACTATTAAACATTTTGTTCGCAATTAGTCGTAGAACTTACTGCTGCATTAAGTAGGTGCTGCTCAAACTGCAGTCTGTGAGTCCTAATGCCCCAGTATAGTGAAGAGGACAGTGAGCACTATCTTTCTGATGAAACATTAAACTGAGATCCTGACTCTCTGTGGTCATTAATCACATAAAAAGAGTAGGCATGTAAGTCACTTTGGATATAAGCGTCTACAAATACATAAATAGCCAAATTCCTTCCCTTGGCTCTTAATCATCATGCCCTCCCAATCATCCCCATCCACTGAATTAGCTCTATCACTGTCTTCAACTACAACACATAAATGGCAATGTAATATAAGTGTACATTACAACATGTTAAATGAAATACACAAAAAAGTAATTAGTTCACTTTACTTAAAAAAGTGAGTAAACCTTATAGTCAACTTGTTGTATGTTGCACTGAGTTTACTGTATCCGGGGTGGGGGGGTCAACTTATGTTTTATGTTTTATTTTCAATCCGAATAAATTTGTAAAAAACTAATAGGTTAACTTAGTTCCTTCATGTTGTCTCAACACAAATCGATTATGTGTACCCAGCGTTTTTTACAGAGTGCTGCACAGTAACTGATCACAACTAATCTGGATTAAATAATTGGATTCCAAAAATAGTAGTAATTGTAATTAGATAATATTGTAATTCAAAATGCTTATAATCAGATGAAACATTTTTGGATGACATGAATCCAAAATATTGTCTCTCATGATTATTATATATATATATATATATATAGTGGTGAAGTGAAGCTTTCTAAAGCACTGAAACGATCAACACAATTGTATCGGAAAAAGGTTCGATAGTCAAAGCTTTCCAAATAAAAACTCGATGAGACCCTCTACTGGTTAAACTGTGGGAAAGCACTGCGTTGCAAAAATGTCAAATGTTCACAACAGACCAACTCATTCATGTAGTAATACAACAAAAGTAATATAAGCAAATCACCTAGTTACTGTAGTATTTTACACATAAGATATTTTGCATTACACTATCGATATAGTAAAAGTCAAGGTATTCAAAAGAATTTATGCATATGGTATTCCAAATAGTCCTACACCCACCCACTCGATCTGAGCGGGGATCTAACCAGCGATTCCTGCATGAGAGGCGAATGCTAAGGAGGAGGCAATGAGAGTGAGGTTTTTGCGTTGCACTTGCCAGCTGGCTTCCGTTACAAACTATACTACAATATGCAGTGGCTTTCTTTGGAAATAGTTGTAAATAATACACTAATACACTGTAGTATGGTTCAAAGGCTTTTTACAATAAATTACTATTGTATTTTAGTTGAAATACTGGTAAGCGGGACCGGTGCAGTGCTTTGAAACAATAGAAATGTAAAGTGCATCTGGAAGGTATTTATAGCGTTTCACTTTTTCTACAGTTTGTTAATGTTACAGCCTTATTCTAAAAAAGACTAAATTCTTTTATTTCCTTAAAATTCTACACACAATACCCCATTACGACAATGTAAAAAAGTTGAAAAATTACATGTACATAAGTATTCACAGCCTTTGCTCTATACTTTGTTGATTCACCTTTGGCAGCAATTACAGCCTCAAGTATTTTTGAATATGATGCCAAAACCTTGGCACACCTTGTCTTTGGGAATTTTTTGCAGAACCTCTCAAGCTCTATCAGGTTGGATGGGAAGCTACGTTGTACAGCCATTTTCAGACCTCTCCAGAGATGTTCAATAGGATTAAGATTTTGGCTCTGGCTGGGCAACTCAATGACATATACCGAGTTGTTGTGAAGCCGCACTATTGATATTTTGGCGGTGTGCTTTGGATCATTGTCCTGCTGGAAGATGAAGCGTCGCCCCAGTCTGAGGTCACTCTGAAGCAGGTTTCCATTCAGGCTGTCTCTGTACATTGCTGCATTTATCTTTCCCTCTATCCTGACTAGTCTTCCAGTTCTTGCTGCTGAAAAACATCCCCACAGCATGATGCTGCCACCACCATGCTTCACTGTAGGCATGGTATTAGCCTGGTGATGAGCGGTGCCTGGATTTCTCCAAATGTAACGCCTGGCATTCACACCAAAGAGTTTAATTTTA